GTGGCAGTAACCACCTGGGGACTGTCACTGTGCCAGGCTTCGAGGGGATGGCAGAAACTTGGGGATGTGGGCAGAAGGGTCCTCCATAGTGGCAGAGCAGGTGACGCCTCTCCAGGGCTGTTCTAGGAGGGCAGGACCTGTACTCTGCCAGCTCTGTGCCAGCCCCATACGAGGTGGGTCCCAGTTAGGGCAGAAGAAGCAGGCGCCAAGCGGCCAGCGCTAGGCCTGAGATCATGGCAGGGTGAGGTGGGCGTCATCTTTCAAGTCACACACCTGGGCCCAGCCTGGGCCTTCTGTGACAGCAAGGACCCTCCCCAGAGCGTCCTGCCTGAGCTAGCAGCCCTGGCCTCGCCCTTCGGCCCCAGCAGACTTTGCCATTTCTGGCCCTGGTGAACCGGGGCCTGCTCACGTCAGCAGCTCCCAGTGGCATCACGCTTGCCTGGCCACTGGCCACAGAGCTGGAAGAGGCCATCTTGGACCCCAGTACATGCTCAGTCTTGGTTCACTGAGCTCCCCCTGTCAGTCAGCTGGGCCTCAGGCTAGCTGCAGGAACCCTAAATATAGGTGACAAAGGGCCCTGTCCTGTAAGCATGGAGTCCTCTGTCTAGGGAGACTGGGAGATGGCAAAGTCTGCAGTTCAGACACTGGGGTCACCACTGGGGTGCAGGCCCGGCCCTGCTTTGTCCCTGGGAGGTGAGGGAAGCTCTCGGGGAGTGTCTTGGGGCTGCTGGATGCATGACCAGAAACTGGGGGGGATTGGAACAGCTGACGTTTACTCTCTCAGTTCTGGAGAATCCAGGCATCTTGCTCAGGGCCATGTTCCCTCCTGAGGCTCCCAGGGGCCTCCCTGCCTAAAGCTCCTGGAGGCCCCGGATACTTCTTGGCTTGTGGTGGCATCACCTCAGCCTCCGCCTCCGACATCATGTGGCCGCTTCTCTCCTCCATGTGTCTCTTTTCTAAGGTCACTTGTGGTTGGATTTAGGACCCAGCTGGGTAATCAGGATGATCTCATCCCTTGATCCTTAAACTCATTTGCAAAGATCCCTTTTCTTTTCTTCCTTCCTTTTTTTTTTTTTTTTTTAGAGACAGAGTCTTACTTTGTCACCCTCGGTAGAGTGCTGTGGTGTCACAGCTCACAGCAACCTCCAGCTCTTGGGTTTAGGAGATTCTGCCTCAGTTTCCCAAGTAGCTGGGACTACAGATGCCTGCCACAACGTCTGGCTATTTTTTTGTTGCAGTTCGGCTGGGGCCGGGTTTGAACGCACCACCCTTGGTATATGGGGCCAGCGCCCTACCCAGAGCCACAGGCACCGCCCCAGACACCCCTTTTCTTTCTTTCTTTTTTTTTTTTTTTTGAGAAACAGCCTCAAGCTGTCCCCCGGGTAGAGTGCCGTGCCATCACAGCTCACAGCAGCCTCCAACTCCTGGGCTCAAGTGAGTCTCCTGCCTCTGCCTCCCAAGTAGCTGGGACCACAGGTGCCTGCCTCAACGCCTGGCTTTTTTTTTTTTTGGTTGCAGCCATCAGTGTTGTTTGGCAGCCTGGGCTGGATTCGAACCCACCTTAGGTGTATGTGGCTGGCGCCTTAGCCACTTGAGCCACAGGCACTAAGCTGAGACCCCTTTTCTAAATAAGGACCCATCCTTAGGGGATGCTCCAGGGCATAAATCTTTTTTGAGGCCACCATCAGCCTCCGTTTCCACATCTGTAAAATGGAGTGTAGTGAGGACTGGACCAGTTAGCAGAGCGAGCACTCAGTCACGGTACAGCTGGAAGGCTCTGTCCCTGCAGGGGAAGCTGCCCTTCTTGCTCTGTGGCCAGTTCCTGGGTGTCCTTGGGAAGGTCGTTCCTGTGGGTGTGAAATCAGCAATCCTTGCTGGGGAGGGACCACGGGACTTTTAGACACCAAGGAAAGTCTCTGTCCTCCCCCCAAAAGCAATCGCATGTATACATGATTCCCGGGACTCTAAGACCTGAGAATCCAGACCCATTTGTGCTTCAAACAGCCCAGATGACATGCACAGGTGGGCAAGGCTCTGTGGGCAGCTGCCGGCCGTGCCCACACCCCCAGCCCTGGCCCATCACTGCTGCCCCCCAAATGCTCCACCTTTCCTGCCTCAAAGAATCTGTCACAGTGCCACTCTCCTCCCAGGGCACCCTCTGGGCTGGCTGTGCTGTCCCTCTGGCACCCACGCTGGACATTGTCTCTGCATTGCCCTGATGGCACTTACCATGTGGACCCTGCTTCTGTGCTGGCCAGGCCCACGCTGGTGTCCAGAGGGCCAAGGTGGGACCTGAGGGCCTCAAGTTCACAACTGAGGAATGAGCAGGGCCTGCCCAGGGGAGGAGAGGCAGGAGGGGCCTGCAGTGTTGCTGTGGAAGCAGGCTCTGCCCACTGTGCATGGCTGAGAGGGACAGTGCTTCCCTTCCGGGGAGGCTGAGGACTCCGCCTTGGGGCAGGGCAGCCAGCCAGGGCACTCACCCCAGGACCCTCAGTCTCATTCTACTGGCCCCATTTTACAGCGAGCCAATGGGCCTTAGAAGGGTACAACCACTTTCCGTCCCCCTTGCCAATGTGCGGGCTGTGGCCAGGTCAGGGAGGAGGGGCCTGGCAGCCAGGTCACTACCCTCCCCAGGGTGCCTTGGCCCTGAAGAGGCTGCTGTGGGCCCCCTCTCGTTAGCAGACAGGCCCAAGGCCCCCACTTGCCAGCAGCCAGCCCATGGCACTGCCCCAGGCTCCCCGTGGGGCTGGCTGTGGACAGGCTGACAGATACATGGCATTCCCTCCTTTCTTCCTGACCAATTCTCTTATTTATTTAGCCCCGAGTAACCCTTGATTTTGCCTCTGCTCAGCTGGGAGTCAGCGTCCTCTGTTCTTGGCCCTATGACCTTGGGATTCTGGTCTGTGTTCCTTCTTTCCAGGCTGGTGTCCAGGGTGGGCCCAAGGGACCCATCCACCCGTCCTGCAGCTGCCCGTGTCCAGGCAGTGAGTATGGACTGAGCACCCTAGCCCTGCACGCTGAATACAGCCCCGGTCCCTCCCGTCTCACGGCTCCTCCTCTGTACAGTGGGGTGACCCCTCCTATCTTGAGCGGCAGGCCAGAAGTGGACAAAGCCACGTGTGCAGTCAGTCCAGATGACACCTACACACAACAGCTGCTCCAGAAAACAGGAGGTGTGGGCTCAGTGTGCAGGTGCGTGCTGCAGGCACGTTTGTTTGAGTAGAGAACACATTTTGGGGTTTCAGGGAGTGTGCAAGGTCTGGGCCTGGGGCCACCGGACAGCTCACGGGCAGTTGGTGAGTAGATGTGTGGCATCCATGAACGCAGTTTCTGGCAGTTTGATGCTGAGCACAGATCAGCAAGATACAGAGGACAGGTAGCAGCCAAGGGCTGGTTTGGGGTGTGGGTTCTGGAAAAGCTTCCCCAAAGGGGTGACGGTGCAGCTTTGATCTGAAGGATGAGGAGGCTCTGGCCACACCACCATGCAGAGAAAGGGGTTAACTCGTGCAAAGGCCCTGAGGCAGGAATGAGTTTGTGGGTGACTCCAGGAACAAGGAGAGGCTGGGGGGGCCCCCGGGGAGCACAGAGCGCTTCCCTGTGCAGGTGGCACCCTCGCCTTGGCCTTGAGCAGGTGGCCCCGTTACTTTTGCCATCCATCCTCTAATTCTTCTTTTTTTTTTTTTTTTTTGAGACACAGTCTCACTATGTTGCCCTGGGTAGAGTGCTGTGGCATCACAGTTCACAGCAACCTCAAACTCTTGTGCTTAAGCTACTCTTGTCTCAGCCTTCTGAGTAGCTGGGGTTACAGGCACCCACAACACCCCCCAGATATTTTTTGGTTGTAGTTGTCATTGTTTACCTGACCTGGGCTGGGCTTCAACCTACCAGCTTTGGTGTATGTGGCTGGTGCCCTCCGTACTCACTGAGATACAGGCGCCGAGCCACCGTCCTGTGACTCTAATGTCTTTGTGAGCGGTCCTTCCCACCTGGTGGCCTGTGCCCTTGACCTTGTCTTCTGCACATCTTAGACATGGATCTGGCCTTGTCCTCACTCCTCCAGACACCAAACAAGCCTCCCCAACTCCCAGGCCCACATGCACCGGTGCTAGGTGTCTGCAAGTTTGCGTGGTCCCAAGTCCATTGGCCTCTCATTTCCATCTTTTCTTACATCCTAAAGCTGGGATCCCCACCCTGCCCAGGTCCCAGGGCTGGGTGAGACTGGCCTCCCCTCTGGGATGGTCCCTTATCAGGGTATGTCCTTCTCACATGTCCTTGTGAGGTTGGCTCCCACCCAAACCCTGAAGCCCAGGCCTGCTCTCTGTCTACCATGTCGTTTCTCTGCTCCCTTTACAGAGAACTGTCCTGAGACACACCTCCCCCCTGAAGCCTGCACCTCTCCCTGTCATCTGCCACGGCACACCTCTGCCCACGAGTGCCCTCTGCTCCAGCTCCGTTCCCTTTCCCCACAGGGCCCATGACCTCTGCGTCTGCCCCGCCCCAGGCTCCCCTTAATCTTCTTTCCCCTCTTGGCCTTAGGCTCCGCTCATCTCCTGTGTGCCCACTCCTACCTTGGCCCCCGGTGGCTGCAGTCACTTTTCCAGCTGTCCTCACTCCTTCGGGGCACCCAGCATGTCCCATTTCTCTCTGCTGCAGCCCACCGTGCAGGTCTCTCTGCTCAGCGTGTCCCTCAGCCCCTTGCCTGCTGCCCAGCTTGGCTGCCCACCTGCCTCCTTTTGAGGTTTCAGGTTCATCTGGCCTCAGGCCCAAACTCGGGCCCCATTTCATAGTCCCTTGGCTCATACCTTCCTGTCCCTGAGGAAGCCCTGCTGGCTCCTCCCCACGTTCTTCCCCAATTTCCAGGCACCTGCACCTCTTTCTGGCCTCTTGTCCACCTGCCAGAGGGTCAGGGTGTATCAGTTTCTGCCCCAAACCAGCGGACAGCCCTTCACATTCTCAGCAAACTCCATTCCTGTCCAGCCTCCCAGGCCCTGCAGGTCGTTGCCCACTGTGCCCAGGCCCTGCTGCTGCCTGTCTCCTCCCTGGACAGCCAAGCCGGCTCCCCGGCACCTGGCAGCTGCCACCCTTCAATGATGACCATGCTCCCAGGAATTGCTGCCCACCCTGCACCCACTGTCCTCCCAGACTGGCCCTGTGGCCTCCATTCCTCACAGAAGCTGCCTCCTCAAGGGCCGCATTTGTCTACTGTGTGTCCTGGACCATTGGAGCCCGTGGGGCACAGGGGGATGGGAGTGGGACAGGGAGAAAGAGGACTTCTGGGCACTCTGCTCAATGTCTCCAGGGCTCATGGAGCCATCATTTGGACATCACTAGGCACCTGCCAGGCAGCGCTGAGGGTGAGATGCTCTTGGGGTCTCCAGATGTGCCAGCCTGGTCAGCTTCTGTGGTGGCAGCTACAAGATTCCTGTGCCTTGAAGTCCAAGTGGTTCATCAGGTGAGACCAGGTCACCTGCTGACCTCAACGTCTATACCCGTAACTGAGCCGGTGACAGTGACAGGGCACTGGCCCTTGGGCTGGGTTGTGACCTGGCTCCAGTTTCGCCTGGGAGGCAGCAGGGGTCAGGTGTCAGCCCCTCAGGTGAGGGTGAAGCCCAGGGCTGCCAGAGGCTGGGGCCAACCTGATCTTGTAGGCTTTGTGAGGAGTTTTGGAAAAACAGTAAATTTTAGTTTTTTATCATCACAAAAAAGTCAGATTCATTATTCAAAATATGGAGGAACAGGGAAGTAAAACAGAGGAAATCAATCCCACCACCTACAGAGCACCTTGCCAACATGAGTTGTGTATTTTTGCTGCTGTC